GCCGAAAACACCTTTAAATTATTTCATAATCAGCACTAATTCACTACTGAGCTGATAAAAATATATCCATGAACAAAACCCCTGAAACACGGAGTGATTTTTTTTTTTTTAAATTGCCAAAATTAGGGAAGAAGTTTAATTTAAGAAGCTGAAAAATGTTGCGTTTAAAGTATCTTTATCAATAGGCATAGTTTCTAGAAGAACAGGACACAACCATAACATTTTAATAACTTCTAAAGTAGGAAGTCATTCAACAGAAATATGTTGGAACCAACTTGGATTAAAGGCCCATAAAACAGACAAATTCAATAACTTACGTCTTCTGTCATTGTTAATATGGTCAGTTACTATTCAGGGGAAAAAAGCTAAGGAGATCCCAATATATAGGGAATGCCAAACTCTGATTAGTTAAGATAAAAACAGGCGCAAGATTAAAGTTTAGAGTCTGGATGAAGTGATATACAAATCTGAGAAACTAATTTGATTTTGGTGACAAGCCTGGCAGTGGTTTAAAAATAAAAATTAAGATAACACTAGGCAACATCGTCTTGCAGTACACATTCAGTCTTTAATATGCCTACCTAACACTACAGTGTCCTTTCCCACAGAGACAGAAAGAAATACAGAATGATAATATAGAAGACAGGGGTAAAGAGAAGTAACAGAACTGTTGCCATCGCTTGTAGATACAGATATGAGGTGCCTGGTTTGCATACCTCTAAACATCCTACTGACTCAGGAAGGCATTGGGAACTTCATTATCAAAAGAAGATAAAGTAGAACTGTGGAGACAGCAAACGGGCATTGCCTTAGGTCTGAGAGAGACTGATGATCTCCAGGAGAGAAGACTGTCCTGAGGCAGGTATGGCATTGGACCTCAACAACTAGAAAGTGTTAAGAGTGGAACAAGCTGTATCTGCAAGGAAAACAGTGTCACCAACTCAAACATATGGCGGGATGCTGGCTTTGATCCTTTCTGTAATGGGCTCCGAAAGACCCTATGGAAGAGTACACTGGAAAACGCCGAGTCCTTTCCTAAAAACAGAGGAGTGACCCAACAGATATGCTAGGGAGGGCAAGGGGGTGGGGGGACAGGGAAGTGAGGTGGCCAGGGAAGAGAGAAAAGCTCATTCTCTTTTCATTCTCATGCATTGCAACAGGTTGTTGGAAGTGTTCATCCAGTGAATAATTCATGACAGTTAGTTACCAGGACCATTATGTTCTATCAGCACCTAATAACACGGGATATAATCAAGAATGGTGTTTGCTGTTGCTCCCAGTTGAGATCAAGTTCTATTATCTATATGTGCACACAGGAGCAAATAAATTATTCAGTAAGGTTAAGTTAGAAGTTAGACTGATCCATCTTGCTGGAATTAAGTCTCTCAGTGATTTTACAAACAGTTATACATAACAAAAGAAAAAACTAAAAGAGGCAGCATGACAAAAAAGTTTTCTGCCCTATTACATACCATTTTATTCGTCATACTTAAAGCTAAACTTGTACAAGTTTGTACATATCGCATTGAAAGAACTGTTCACTAGCTTAAAAAATGAACAAAACATCAAAAACATCAAACATGGTCCCTTTTGCAATTTTTGTGCAGTCAATATCAGTATATCAGCTCAAAGCTTTTGAGAGATATGAAAGAACCATAACAATGGAAATAGAGACCACAGTGCCGCCTTTTGGGCCACCTGTGATTGGTACCAAGCTTGTATCCATAGCAATCTCAAATGCAAAATTCAAATTCTGCTATATAGAAAAGTGAAATTACAGCCATTAGTAAAGAATTAGAAGTTTAAACAGTAAATTGGATCAAGACTACATATACAGTTAAAGACATAGGTAAACATACATGACTGTTTAATTCAGGAGCACATTTTTACATAGGAGAAATATTACATTTCAATCTACCAGTATGGCTTTTTCCATGAACAGGTGGGCGTTTTCAGATTTAAAAACCAAAACTGTTAGTTGTCTAAGAAAACTAGAAAAAATTAGTTATGTTAGGAAGAATTAATACCAAGAAATGAAAGTGAGATTAAAGTGAAGTTTATAACATCAAGATAGACACCACTATGATTTAGTTTTGGAAGACATTTCACCTTTGATTTTATTATTTGTCACAACTGTGGCAGCATATTTCACCTGTGAACTTTCATCTTAGAATACTAAAAAATAAGGTGTCACTTTTTTTTAATTCAATAGACTGAAATGCACCTGAGCAAAGCAAAATTCAGAGACTAAAGCAAGCATTTAGCTGAACTCAGTTTTGGCTTGTGGACATGCACAAAATTAAAAAACTAAAATAAATAAACAGCTTTTGGCACTTATCCACAGTAAGCTGTAAAATGATTTAATAAAAGACAGCTAATAAAAGTGATCAGCTCAGAATGAAACTGTACAAGCCATTAGTTCACATTTAAACAATAAATCTGATTGCAGTTTTGAGCACAAAAACATAACTTAAAATCCTATTTTATTCAAATTTGAAAAACTATATTGATTTTAAGTAGTTTAAATACATTCATTCCCAGTCAAAGTTTTACAGTAACTGATGATTTTCAATCACACACACAACCAAGTTATAAATCCCTGAAACATGGATTTATTATAGAAATACTGATAAAACCTTAACAGAGATACAAATGATACATCACATAGTGTCTTACACCTTAACGGTAAGTACTTGACCACCTTGAATTGGTAGATGCATCACTCCTACTGTTAGACTCTAATACCATCCTCTAGGACCAACTGGTTTAAATTGAATTCACAACAGTTCGCAGTTACCTAAAAAAGATTTTTTTTTTTTTAATCACACTAGAAAATATTAATCTTCTAACTAGTATTTCAAAATTTCTGGAAAGAGAATTTCCCAGTTATAATGGGGACTAAACATACTAAGCAAGGAGAGTCACCGTAGAGAATTTGAGCAAGTAATTTTGGAATCAGTGCCTCTGCAGAGATTTACTATACAGCAGTACTTCCCCTGACATAAGTTAATTGGTGCATGTTTATCTGTGCATCTTAGGACCTTATTCTACCAGTGATCTTGGGACTCTTGAATTTAATCTCATTCTGGCACTAACTTTCTGTGGGATAGGGCAACTTCCAAATGAAAGGCACTCTGTTATGAGTGAAATCAGAATTATCAGCAATGCAAATGGACAACTTGTAACATACTGAAGAGAACTGCTGTAGCCTACATGAGGTCTAAAATTAAGTACTTCCCTTAAAAAAGGTGGAAAAATATTTAGAACAGCTGCAGTGCATGTGTTTGCAGGCACACAGACACTAGCCACTCTACAAGCAGAGATCTTCCAAGTATCTCAATTGTTGTTTGTTTTGTTTCCCTGCCCCCAATGCTGTTTTTTGCTTGGGCAGAACCAAGCTTCTGAGGTTCAACTGCACTATTGGGTGACTTGCAGAACAGCCCATGGACCACCCCTGCATTGCTTCCTACAGTCCACAGCAAGCAGGTCTGGAGAATAAGTTGCAAGAGTGGTCCTCTCTAGTAGAACAAGAGCACAGGCACACACTACTAGTTTGTCCCACTTTGTATTATTTCTCCTCACACCTTTTCTTCCCCCCCCACCCTTGTAAAAAAAAAATTCATCTTGGGAATAAAGCTTTCCTTAAGGATAGGAAAACTCATGCTTGTTAGTCTGAATAAGGGATGTGCAAAACAGAAGTAATTTCCCTGAGGCAAAGATCTTCAAGTCATGCCTAGCTTACATTGTCTATTCTTATTTCAAGCTGTTGAAATATTTGGCACAATGAGGCCTTGATCATTGACTGAGTCTCATGGCATTATCACAGCCTACATAATATATTTGTATAATAAAGTAGAAGTTACAAATGTTTCATTCTCTCATTCTGTTTTGGTTTCTCACATTTACTTATGAAAATCCCTTTCCTTCTCAAGGGTGGCATTCAGCCTCCTGGGCAGGAAGGTAGAGTGACAAACTTCTACTGTATTTAAAGGTTGCCATGAGTACTGAGCGCCTAAAAGGGCAATCACAGTAGTTATTGGACTCAATACATGGAGTAACAGGGTAAAAATTAATAGCCTGTTATGTACAGGTCAAAGGTAGGTGATTTAATAGTCTCTTCTTGACTTACATTATGAAAAGCATCCAGGGAGATAAAAAAGTCATGTTGTGAATGCTTCCAGTCTAAAACACGTAAGAAGCAAAGCTTGAAACCAAGTCTTTCCAGCTTTCCCTTTTAAAATATAAATTGCACTTTTTATACAAAGCAATCCAAAGTCTAAATTGTAGTAAAAATCTGAAGCTGCCTTACTGTACCAGAGTATTTGTGTTCACCATCTGAAGTACAGGCAACTAGTTTTCAGCTGTTCTGCACTTAGAGCTATACGCTCTACATCTTTCTGCTTTAAAAGGGCCTGCCATTAAATGCCATGCCACTGGGTGGGTACTGAAAAAAAAACAAAAAAAAAAAAGAGTTTAAGGCCTTTATCTCCACAAGGAGCTAAACTGTGGCGGCCTGCCATTAAATGTCATGCCACTGGGTGGGTACTGAACAAAAAACAAAAAACAAAAAAAAAAAGAGTTTAAGGCCTTTATCTCCACAAGGAGCTGAAAACTGTGGCACAACCCATGACCAATACATAATACGTAAATTAGCACACTCCCACCCAGGGCTCCAAAAACCAGTCATTCTTTCTAATGTCTGTCACACAAGACAACCATACCATCAGCAAGCAACAGTGCCAGTTAAGTATTTTTAAGGTCTTCAAAAATTCATAGCAAAGGGCACTTCTGAAAAAGATAATCTTAAAGATTTGGTTTTAAAAATAGACACCACACTCACATTCAAGGGACATTCTTCACTTTTAGGCCTTTGTCACAAATCTGAATCTTTATTGTTCTGAAATAAACGCTATAAACATAAGACTCAAAACAAGAACTCCAACTTTCAGTCTCAGAAGAGGTGTGGTTCAATGCCCATATCATGTGTAACAAGAAAATTTCCTTAAAAAGGAAAAAAATTACTGTAAAGTCTTTCTTAAGAATGAAAATGCAATCCTTCGTTTTTCTCATTAGTTTGTGTACAGGTGGGCACCAAAAAAAACTTTTGCATTTTCTTTTGAATTCTTGCTATGATGCTTGACGAACTTTTTGCCATTCAACAAATTCATCCAGAAGTACAGGCCCTGCAAATGGACGAAACTTGGAGTTATATTTGCCAATGTCTTTCAAACATCTTCTCTTAAAGTATGAAGGTTAAAACTATTGGTCTAGGTAACATCCATGTCAATCCTATGGTCAAATACTTATTAATGCTCAAAGATTACTACAATCATTTCAATCCAAGGGTGGCAAGAAGTGCACAAATAACACTACACAGAACTGTGGAAAAAAGTGTTCCTGATATCTGACGGTGCACCGAACTGAATGGAGAGCATAAAAATAAGGTTATATCGTAAATCAGCGCAACTAATCCCTTCTTACCAGAGCTTTCAAAATTGCACATAATTAGAACACAGACCAAAATGGGATGCCTAGTGCAATTCAGTCATAGTATGATTGACTATCAGCCAGGTGTAGAGTTCAGCCCCAAGTACCAGCAGCTAGGCTACTTTATAGTTAAACTAGAATTTATTATACATTAGTACAAAATGAGAGTTTGCTGTTTAGAGTTCTATTTGCAAGTCTCTAGTTTCATGTAGCTAGCAGCTTCGCTAGATACTCAACTGAATATAAGCTGGCTCAAGTACACCATCATACCCCTGACATACGACTACAATTAACATCTGCAGTTTGAAGACGGATGGTTATCAGGACAGTTTTTCTATGCATTGTTGGAGAAGAAATATTTTATACCTTACAGTATTGTTTCTGTTACAGAAATTTGTTTTATGCAAATTGAAAATACTGAAATAGTAGTTGAATAAGCAAAATGTTACAAATACTTACATGCACCATCTTCATCATAGTTGCTAAGATCTGCATGGACAGTTCTGCTGAACTCTAGCACATTGTACCACTGATCCTTGTTCATAACTCTATACTTTGATTGCTAGGGAAAGTAATTTCAGAACATTAAAATGTCAAATGGCATTTGGTAATACTGCATCTCATTTATCTCATTTTATCTTCAATCAGTTCCTAACAAACAATTTAATGGGTAACAACAGCTACTATTTCCTTGGTTTTCCATTTTTTAAAATACTACACATATACATGTTTCATAGTTCTGAGACTACATAAAATGGTTTCTTGAAAGATCAGAGCAAAATTGAAATACGAGGGAATTAGGAAGTCACCATTCTTCAGCTTCAAAAACTGGTAAATTTTCATCTTGCCCTGAAGTGGGGCATACCTAGCTCAGATATATTTCCAGAATGAACAATTAGAAAAATCTTTTCTCCAGGGTACAATACAGTATGATCATAAGGACATCTACTTTGCAATATTAGTACTGACTTGAAGCCAGGGAATACTCTCAAGCCTAGCATGCTCCACAAACTACACACGTCCACATTACTGACTAAGTCACTTGCAGCTGAGCTGACCAAAATCTTCAAGAGACAGCCAGAGCCCAAGGTACCTACATACTGTATTCACACAAAGCAAACTTGAAATTCAGCACAGATGCAGCTGAAGAGACTACTGGGGCTCTATTATTTAATTTTAAATTTACCTTTATAGTCTAATTAAGACAGAATTTTAGTTGCCTTTGATAAGAGAGGGGGGTGGGGCACAGGGAGGGAGAAAAGGATCTGTGATGCATACAAGAACATCACCATTTCATAAGCACATAGAGCAAGGGAAGAGGAGCAATATGGATACATTCTTGAGCAAAACAACACAAACCCTGAAATCTTTTCACAGAATAGCCCAACTACTATGCCATCATTTAGAAAGTCAAGGAAACTTGTACCTCCAGGTATTGATAAAATACTGAAAACAGTGGCCAAGTTCTTCCTAGCAGAAGAGCTAACATGGATTTTGCAGTATCAATATCAAGACTTCGCTGGTCTTTATCCTAAGGTTGAATAAAGAAAGCACAAAAACCACTCAAGTTCAAGCTTGCTGAATAATTAAAATAAGAACTACTCTAACATTCCAGTAGTCTTACCCTTGCAAAATCAAAGGCATATCTGTAGATATTCTTAAAGGATGAAATGTCATTCAATTGTGACCGCAAGAAGTCAAATTTACTCTGTAATTTTTCTGTACAGTCACACCTTAAAATGAAGAAAAACAAATGACATTAGAAGTTCAAAACAAAACATTTTGGACAATGAAAAAAATGCCAGCAAACATAAAAAATTAAAATCACCAAAATGCAATCATTAGATGTACAGGAGTAATACTATGAAAGTGACTTAAAGAACACTGAACATGCTCAACATTTGCAGCTTACTGAAATGATGAATGCCTGGCTTCAGTAAGCAAGTTTTTTTAAAATGTATCAGCAACATAATACAAAGTCTCTGCTTTACTTCTCAAATAGTAGTCTTTTTATGCCATACTGTGCAATTTATATTCATACCCTGCACTATCTTGTCTTTCAATCACTATGAAAGTTTGGAGAAAACAGTATTCAGTGTGCATTAAGGTGGTAAAATCCAGCTGTAAATAAGGGCTTTATGCCATACCTCTTTGGAAAAAAAACCCTAAACACACACTTCAAGACTACATATTTACAATTGGCAGGATTGAGCAGGCACTCTGCAAAACATACTAGTCTGCTTGTATTTTATGACTGATAAATGCAAGCTCTGATAAGCCTACCACCTGGATTAGTCAGTAGCTATTCAACTGAAAACTCACAAGCTGTATGAGAATGTACAGGTCTGCTAGTTGACAGGATAACCCTTTGGCAGAAAAGATCTCCATGTATTTTACTTAGCAAGGACTTTTGTTTCCAAATAGAAAGTGGGTTAGATTCACCAACAATGGCAGAGGAGAATGTAATTTACACATGCTAATCCTCCAGGAACAACTCACTCAGAAGAACAGTTGTTGTATTATATCACATTTTATTCTTATAAAATAGCTGCCATGACTCAAAAAAAAAAAAAGAAATTCCGCCTTGCCCTGTATCCTGTGTGACAGGAGCAATACTTTCAGAAACGCAGATGTACACAAATACTTCCTTTGGTAATGTGTCCCCCTTCTGGCAGCCTGCCTCTCAGAGAATACATTTGCATCTTTAACAGCTCCTTATGGACTTGCACAGCAGCCCAGAGCAAGGGCCCCTCAGGAGTACCGCAGCAGGTTGCTGAGACACTGTACTTTGCCCACAGCTGATACCTCCTGCTGTTCCTCATCCTCAGGTCTGCTAGACTGTGTGTGCACGTCTGTGTCTGCCCCTCTCGGGCTGCGACAAGAAAAACATAGCAATTCCAGCTGATGGAGCCTTTTGTCATTTCTTGTCTCTAGCAGCATCTACCTAAAGCAGCACTGAGTCCCAGCTAAGATCAGTGCTAAATAAATAAAACTATTAGCTAATTAGGCTGCATATGTAGATGATAAAAACTAATATATTTTGCAATAAACCATGCATTAAGTTGAAAAAGAAATCTTGCTAAAAAAGCTTTGGTAAATTTAACTAAAGAAAATTACTTTTTTGTCTTCAGCCATTTAATTGGTCTATGTATTCTATTGTTTAACCCTTAAAACAGTATTATGCTATGCTACAAAGGCATCTCATTTTATATTCATATCTCTTCTTTCTACATTCAAACCTTCATACTGCAGTAATATTGTCCTCTACATTTGAGGACAAATCTACCTATTTAACACCTAACTAAATGCTCATGTTGTTAGTGTACTAATGACATATATAAGCTACTTAAAGTGGGTTTACCACACGTTTTGTCAAATATAATTTGACTGAGATTACCATACCATGGATAAACACAAATTTCAGTACGTTTAAATTTTTTACCAAATATTTTGTTAAAATTGCTCAAATAATCATAAATTTAAGTACAAAGTAAAATTCCTGTTATTGTCTGCTGTACTATTGGCTATATGTATTTTAATGCAGAAATGATTCTCTTGAAAAAGTTGGTATGAAAATGTGCAATTATTAAGCCTCAAGACTCCTGAACTATTGTCAACCTATTTAAAACCAAACAGTCAAATGGATCACACTCGGACAGACAGGCATCACCCTCTGAAGTCCAATGCAGGGACATACCTCTGTTAAAGCCATTTAAGGCTTTTCCACACCTGGCCACTGATTTTCTTGACACTAGTGAGGGAAGGAGCTGTCAAACTCCTCTTTTATAGCGATACAGCTGCTGGTGCAGCTGCACCATAAACAAGATGACTGAGGTCACCCATACTTAGAATAATCTTCCTTTTTTTTTTTTAAGTAAGAACAACCTTCTAATTAGCACATGTGAATTAACACCAAACTCCTGTACAGAGACTGGAAAAAGATGTGATTTCTTGAACTGCCTTTACTGAAAGATAGCATTAAATAAGGTTACCTCAAGATCAACAAAACAAGACATTAGCTTACTACATTCTCTTTGCATCCCTATATCATATTTATAACAAAACTTAAATTAGCACCACAAAGCAGTCCTATTTTGATTTCTGTTGAGGTAGAGAGTTCATTTGAGGTATAGCTAACATGGACAGAGTGATGATTCAATAATTACTCATACTCATATTTATAACAAAACTTAAATTAGCACCACAAAGCAGTCCTATTTTGATTTCTGTTGAGGTAGAGAGTTCATTTGAGGTATAGCTAACATGGACAGAGTGATGATTCAATAACTCCTACTCATACTCTAATGTTTCATATTCATAATTATTCACACATGCTTTTCTTTTACTAAAAAGAAAAATTACTAAGATGTATACAAACATTAAACCAAAAGCATTTAATGGTAGTATATAAACTAGTTTGAAGGTCTTTTAACCTACAAAAGAGTTCCCCTGCCATCATCCAGCCCTCCAGATGGACAAAAGGAAATTATATCCATCTAGCCCATCTACTCTCTTCAAGCATTGAAACAGGATCTTCTGAAATTTACGTTTCATGTTATAACTGGAGCATACAGAGGTCCAAGGAAGTAATGGCTTAAGAGAGGAAAAGGACATCTTTTCCATGCCCTGACAATGCTATAGTTTCACTATGTCAATTGATTTACAGGTCTGGAGACCAGAAATTGTTTAGATTCCAGAATACATTGAATGCTATACTGGCATAAAAAAAATTATTTACACTATACGTTGTGTTAGCCTCACAAACATTAACAGAAAGGCAGTAACAAGCAAAAAACTCGTTGGAAAAGCAGCTGATTTTAGGCTATCATTAAAACCAACCCAAATAAGTTGATTTTACTAATAATTCTGCAAACAGCAAGAAGTTACAAATCTGACTTTCCTGCCTCTCTCCCTCTCTCTCATGTGGCTTCTTGTACCTAAAGATGTGAGAGCATGACCTTATCTTTCCCTCAATTGGAATCTAATTTGGCTCTCTCCCCTTTACCTGGCCACTCATTTTCAAAAGCTCAACTTTAACGTAAAATTTGGCTCAAATTCTAAGGTTAAAAAAAAATAACCAGAGGGAAGTACTCAGATAATACAGCTGCTTATGCCTCACTTCCTTACACATGAAATTCTTCGTATTTACCCAGTTCAAACAATTACTTCTGTGCAGTTCAATAAAATCATGAATTGTAATCCTTTTTCCTTCACCTTCATTTTGTAACTAGATTTTTTTTTCTTTGTAGGTCTGTAAAACCTATAATTGACAGATACATGAGTATGCTTCTCCTTTAACTCAGATAGGTAAAGTTAAATGCTCAACTAAGTTATTCACCCTCTGACAGCTTTAAAGCAAATGTAGACAGTCACCTCCTGAGGGCTATTCATTTCATCCTAAGGAGGTGTTTAAAACAGCTGAAATAAATTGCCCAGCAGACGTACTTGTTTCTCTCTGCTGACTATGAAAAGAGCTTCAGATGATTAATTTAGATTCAGGCACCCAGCTTTCATATATATATATATATATACACACACGTATATATATATAGGGCAGAATTCACCCTACCAACACAATATGCTAGAAACCTCACTTTCGCAGCTTAAGTTAAGTCTCATATGCTGCTTCTTAGTGCTTGATCCACCTTAATTTTGACAGTGTATACCTTATCACATATTTATTTTTCTCCTCCTCTCTGAAGAACAAATTTCATCAGCATATCACAAAACCACACACAAAAAGAATGTCACTTCAAGATTCAGGCACCCAAATGTTGGCATCTAACTGTAGACTGGACTTAGGTGTCTAAGCTTTAGGTGTTGCCATTAATAGAGGTCTAGCCAACCAACCTGTAAGAGCAACTCAGGTGACCAGTCACTAGGTCTTAGGGCAAACTGAATACCTCCCTAAACTCCACTACATTGACTAGATCTCCAAAGATTGCAGTAAGAGTTTAAGAAATCCAGCTCTTGCATATAAACCACACATTTAGGTGTCTTACTATGGAGCTGAATTCCACCCAACCCTGTTCATGCAATTACCTTATGTGACATTTCACGTATTTTGAAATAAGGATTCTGTAATACAACTCTGACTCAGAATACTCTCTGGACTTTTAATGCATTTTAATGTTGTTTCTTCATGCAAAAATTAAAAAAAAAAAATGCTGTGCAAGAATGTAATAATACTCTATTGGTTTAAGAGCGTAAAAAAAAAATCATTCTCCTTCAAAACTTGTCAAACCTTTCAAGAGAAAATAGATTCCCCCATTCCAGATGGAATCCCATACTATGATTCTCCCTTCCCAGTAAGCACAAACAGCAGAAGTCTACAGATTTATATTCTCTTTTTAAGCCAACGAATCTTGAATTCCTTTATGCGAGTGTCACTGCTTCATCCAGCTGCTTAGTCTACAGCCTGCTATTAGAGCATACCCAGGAGAAGCAAAACATACAGGTTAACTGGTTTAGGCTTAGGCAAGTGCTCCGATCACAAATCTGTTTATATAAAAAAAATGCACAGCAGTACCATGTTTTCTGTCTTAAACACATTTAGCCTACAGCATGACCAGCTCTGTTCTTAAAAGAACCAGAAGATTCCTAATCACAGCAGATTATTAGAAATAAAGTCTATAATATTGGCTCTGAAGAGGTGCCTGATTGCGTACATCTTTGTGCTTGCATTCTGCTAAGACTGGCTAACAAGAGTTAGAGAGTTTCCATCTTTGTGCTTGCATTCTGCTAAGACTGGCTAACTCTTGAGAGTTTCCATTTGGGCGTAAAAATTAAGTACTTCAGAGAAGTGACAAAATTATATCCATTCACTGCATCTAAAAATTTATGCACCCAGAATTTAATCTCTCTCATCCTGAATTTCAGGCAATTTAATCGTTCCAGCTCTTACTAAATTTAAGAGCTTCTGATAGCCACTAAACAATCAAGGCGTCTATCAGAAGCCTGATCCCAAATCAAGTAAGATTTGCACAAGAGAGTCAGGCCAGTCACTTACTCTGTAGTCCCGAATAACCAGAGGGTATCTGCCCAATACAATTTCCCAAATCAATTCACAACTGATAGGGCAATTGTGCCAACTCCAAGGGTCAAATCAGCCCCTCTTTCCCACCATGCTGTAGCTGCAACAGTAGCTCCCTGACATTTTTAATATTGAACGCAGTGTCATAACAAGTCACCCTTGAAACACTCATGTACCATAAGTAGCTTCATGAAGAACAAACAAAAAGTGACAATTGAACTAAGCCTCACAAAGTTGATTAGTTTCATGAAACAACCAATCTCGTTAGGCAGAGCATTATCTCACCAAAATTCTTACAGACAGAATGAGTGAGAAGTTTATTTATAAATTGAAAAAGAGTGTTATTTAATCTAAACATTAAGCATGGCTTCTGACCTGCATCTAATTAATAACACTAATAACTAGAATTATTATCATACAGTCCTCATCTATAAAGCTTAGAAATCAGTAAAAACTTTCTAGAGTACCAGTACTGAGATATGCTTATGGGTATCTCCAGATCTACTTATTTGTGTCTGCTAAGTAGAATGATATTTTAACATATTTTTTGTAAGAAGCAGCAGCCACGAAAACCTGACTTATTACGGTTAGACAGAACTTTATCATTTGAGTGAACTCATCCGATTCACAACTTGTTGATTAACAGTAGCTACTTCCAGTTTTTGACCGAGACCAGACCTAAAAGCAAGAGTTTCTGCGTCTTATTGCCAATGCACAATAAACTGAGGGCAAGAATAATTAAGCTATGGTACAAACATAAAATTAGAACATTCTATTATATATGTAAAAACACTCTTACTGTAATGAGGTCATTCCTTTTAACCATTCTTCCTTGGTAAAAAATCCCATGCTTTCAGCCTCTAGTTTCCAGGCTAAAACTAACATAATAATCTAGGGGGGGTGAAAAAAAACAAGGGGAGAAAAAGGAGTCAGTATTTAAGAAAATGCTGATTTCTAGATGTCCAAGAAGAAAACTCTAAGCATTCAAACATTCTGGCAATTGCTGTACATGCTTGCACTTTATATTTGTTACCATTTACTAATTCAGCTACGTGCAATCTTTCTCTTAATTTCAATTTCTGAAAATGAAGTATTACTATAATAAAACAAAAACCCTCACACACCAGCCACGCATAATTGATGTATTCAGCTGAAATATCTTAGAACAGCTCCTAAAAGCAGAAACATAAACAACTCTTTGCTTACTGAAGTGAAAGAGTTTTACACAGAACTTAATCTTATCCAATACCCCCTTTTAAAGTGTTAATAGTATCGTGCAAGAAACCTACATTTTCAGGCTCAACACCGATGTCTTCACAGAACTTTTCCATTCCTTCGGGCCCCACAACTTCATCGGGACCTTCAAAACCAAAAAAGAAACCAGATTGAAATCTGAGTAACATTCACTGCCCACAAGGGCTACACACAACAGTAATTAGACTATATTGCATACAAGCTAGCTTTAAAAACAGTGAATTACACTATTAAGTAGCTTTTATGTTAGAACCATTCCATCAACTGCAATGTGGAGACATGTATACTACATATGAAGTAACACTATGAACTAAAAGCAAAACTAAACCAGAACTTTCATGTTGTGCACTGCCTCCCCACAACAGCAGACAAGCTATTTTAGTTTGTGTATGAGTTTTCAAAAGACTCCACTGAGTTTCCCATTGACATAGCTCAACTCCAGCAACTGTGGCTGTCAATTGTTTTTAAGACAACGTGGGTACCGTTACTCTGTGCTGAAGTTACTCTATGAATAGTGTTCTTCAAAGAGTTATTTTATCAACAATAAAAAAAAATTAATTCCGTCTGAGCTATTACAAATATTACTCTTTCAACGGTGTTAACATTATGGGTTTGCACTAACACAGAAAAGGATGAATCTTCAAATAATGTAAGGTTAGTTTTATGATGCTGAGTAATATGAGAGTGAGAACAATAAATCAGAAAAATGCTAAGCACGTTAGCCATGTACAAAGCAGAAAAAGTTTATGACTGCAATGAAAATAACTCGATTAGGACCACAACAGTTAGTGTTACGCTGTCACTTTTCCATTTTAACACAAAGAAAGCCTCTAAAAAGCAGCAAAATTGTGTATTTAAAGAGCACATACAGACACACTCTACAACGCTTTGTTTCTCTGAATCTCTCTCTGGTTTCAGTTATTTCTGCTAAGCCTGTTCCAAAAATGACTCCCACTGGGCAACCAAATATTATTAGAAGGCCTGTTGACATGCTATTTTGATGTGTCTTGGATCATTATGTTAACATTGTTTTAGTGAATATGAACCCATGAAAAAGGTAAAGGCTTTATCTTCCAGAACAACATGCTATTTTATGATTTTTTGGCAAATTTTGCTATTTATACATAGACAGAACAGTCCACTTTTTTTTTCCCCTTGATGATACCTGTCTCCACTTCATCTGTATCCACTGCTGTTATTGTAAGCAGAATTCTTTTTAAGAGTTTGGATAATGTACTTTGAATAATTACTCACTGTGAAATAAGAACATAGTCAATAAAAGCTATTGAGAATGGCTACTTTTACAGGAAAATAAAATGCAACTGGCATTTAAGATCATGAACCCCTACCTCTTGAAAAATGTTGCACAGAACATTTCACCTAGGTAAGCAAGGCAAAACGCTGCTATCTGGTTTTGAGAAACCCTTACATAGAATGTGTTAAAAAAATTGCAAGTTTAAGTTATGAAGAGAAACACATACAAAGGTTCACTGGTAATGACAAGTATAAACTTCAATCAGTGTTTTTGGCCCAGAAATCATATGTACAATTCACATATATATATATGTGTGTGTGTAATTTTCTCTTTTAATGGAAAGATTTAACCTCCTATGATGTACAATTTCACTGAAATTCTATTTTATGCTAGAAACGTGGCATATTTTGATTACTGGTTAACTAACAAAGTATAACCTCCTACACTCAGTTCTTGGCTCAACAACAAAAACAAAATTTACAGGCCTTAAAAAAGTTAAAGTATGTGCAGGAGCATTTATCAGAAAAAAATTAACCGAGAATTATTATTTTCCTCAGAAAATACTCTTTACTCCAAAAAAGTATGCCTCAAACCCAAATTAGAAAGCAGACTACTAGAATCAGGAGTAGTTCATTACTGTGGAAAGACTGCAAGGAAAATATCAGTTCTGATAAATATACTCAAACCAATTGCTGGCAGATAAATCAACCCATTTCATACTGAGAACTGGCCATTAATGAGTTTTAAACACCAACTAGTTATGATGGACTTCAAGTAGTGACTAGACAAGAAAAGAAATTAGTAACAGTTTACAGATCCTGAATTTCTAACCATATAATTGGTAAAGACATGGCAGTAAGAGTCTAATAAATTCTGCAAAATACACTGCATATTCACTGAAAGCAACTATTACCTGGATAGCAATTCTGATTTATTTGAAGGAGGCTACTTCTAACACTTTTGAATGAAACATTTGTTACTTAGAATATCAAAAATGTTAGGACAGATTCTCAGATAGGAAAAACAGTATAAGCATCTATTATTTTATTTTGTAAAATAGAAAACCCAGAGGTTTAAATCATGAACTATTTCATTATCCTTCCAATTTGATTACAAACAAGATCTAGTTAGATAAATAATCTTCTATCTAAACTATCTCTCAATGTCCTGACTTCTACCTGTCCATTTCAATGCAAGAAGTAGAATCACTCAGTATATCCCGGTTCAACACTATACTGTCCAACATCAGTTATTTCATTTTAAAGAACACCAGGGTAAGTTATAAAGCATAGAGTCAAGAAGAAAAAGTCAAAAAGAACAAATACTGAAAAGGCGATAGTAAAAGCCATACTAATTCAAGTGCATGTTATAAGGAAGGAAACATGGACATACTTTTTGTGTCTACATCAGCATAAAAAAAGCAAAATGCAAATAATATTTGAAGTATTCGTTTGTTTTAAACAAAACCATGTAGTTTTAAATATGAACCCATTGCATATTACCTGCATATTCATAAAACCAAGCCAGGCACTTTTTGCTCGAAAAATGTTCCTCTCCACTTATTACTTTACCAGAGGCTTGTGATCTGCAATAGCTTATAGAAACACAAGGATGATAAGTGTTATTTTAATATGAGAAATGGGAAATAATTTAAATTCCAAATTGCTTATTATTAGTTCAAACTATTTAAACTGTTTCATGAAGTCAATCTACATCAACAATGAAGCTGAGTTTGTTAAAGGGTAACTGTTTGTCATCCTATTTCAACACTTGTTGGAACATAAAATTACCTTGAAATACAACCCTCTCGTAGCCCAATTTATTGCAACTATTACTTTTTCTGAAATGCAAAAGTACTGTTATCTTGTAGATATTAAACCAAAAAACCCACACACAGATGGTCAAAATATCTCTACTCAGTAATTCAAATGCCTTATTATCTACTTATATGTATACATACAGGCATTTAAAGTTAGGTCTCTAATAAGCAGCATGATCTTCAAAAGTGCTGAATATGCACAGATCCCATTTAGGTCAACAGGAGCTGCAGAGTTTGACATATTTAAAAGTCAGGCTATTTATAGTTAAGCACCCAAATTTGGGAAGAAAACACGGTCAATTCATTTATATTAAACATGTAACTAAATATCTGTAAATTCTATAAATGTTTGGTATACCGGAATAGTAATATGCAATCTACAGTAAGACTAAAACTGCTCAGCGCAGTTTCCCCCCACATTGTCTTCATTATGCGACACAAAACCCAGTTTGCCTAGGAAGTGAATTTTCAAGATTTATCATTCTTTAAAAGAATACACAGCATAACAGATTTCCTCCAGTAAAACCACTGACCACACGAAAGCATCTTTAGTCAGTAAGGAGTTGCAGCACCTTTTCAATGCACACTCCTTCCAAACACAAGTTACAGACTTTTAGAACAAGCTAAGATTATTTCTAAGAATGAGGTGAAAGTTAATCATATGAGAGGGTTTAAAATTATGCAGCTCCTACAATGCAATTTTAAAATGAAAACGTCAAGCAGGAAAAGAATAGTTCAATTCTGAGAGGTGGTGAACAGCTTTATCTCCCATGTATTGCTTCAAGCTTCACTGAAAAAGAAAGCAACACTCTCCAAGATGAAGCCTTATGTGCTGAAAGCTATAATCAAAGATGTACTACAGACAAACATCCATTAAAAACACAAGTCACCAGAAAGAAACAGAGCCATACAGTATGCTATTGCTTGTTGGTTTTATCCAGTTTAACATATATCCATTTGTAATCACTGGTTTTATTAAAGAATATTACCAATATATTGCTATATAAGAATGCTACATCAAAAATGAGCTAAGCTAGTATGAACTCTCATTTACAACATAGTTTTTGCCCAACGACTACTAGCTTCCTGTATTTTTTTTAACATATATCCATTTGTAATCACTGGTTTTATTAAAGAATATTACCAATATATTGCTATAAGAATGCGCTACATCAAAAATGCTCGTGTACCTAACATTTTGAGATCAGCTAGTATGAACTCTCATTTACAACATAGTTTTTGCCCAACGACTACTAGCTTCCTGTAGTCTTTTTTTTTTAAAGAGCTTTCAAAAGATTTTTTTTCTTAAAGTGAAAGAAATTAAGATCATAAAATTTTGGTCAGCAGTGTTCAAGAAAGATGAACTGAAACTGCAACAGATGCAGAGAAGAGCTATAATGAGCAAGGAAACTAAAAATCAGTATTACAAACCAGAAGAATTTAGCTTGTTTAATTTAACAAAATGAAGTAAGAGAAAACACAAGCACTCACTCCAAATACACTATGAGGCAGAACCAGGAGGGAAGAGTGTTATATAAAGGATAATGCAGGCACAAGAATGGTTATTAACTGGCTATGAATAAATTTAGACTGAAACTAAAAGATCATTAATGACCGCAGAAAGTAAGCTCTGGAACAGTTATCCAAAATGAACAGTCATAACAAAATACAAGCCTGGGTACTTCTAAGCTCAAGCTTGGTCAACCTATGAGAAAGGCCATATGCCACAGTTTCTTGCAATAGCCATTCCTGTAGCGTTGATTTCCTAAGTCCTTTGTATTCTTATGTCCTCGGGACGTTTGTCGTAACTACTGGTTTACTGACATACTTAACAAGTTCTAGTAGATGAAGGAGGCATACAGTTACTTTAGGGAAGCCACACTGGAAGTTCCTGCTACACCACACTAATGGTTTATCATTCTAATGGTGATTTTCAGGTATCACAGCAAAAGTGATCTTTTTATGGTAGTTAATGAACAAGATGCTTCAGACTCCTGTATTTATTGGGAAAACCTTTCCTGATTTTGTTTTGGAGTGTGCTGACCTCTCCTTCCATTTCACTAAAAAAAAAAAAAAAAAAAAAAAAAGACAATTTAAATGTAGACACTCTGAGTACTGGCAACCTTAAAATGAGGTGAGCTGTCTACCCCAGGCAAAAGTTTAGAATGAATATGCGGACAAATGCTGGAATTGGCCTTACTGCCACGGTGAAAGGCAAAACCAGCAGGGAACGGGAGCAGTTCCGTAGCGTTTCTCCCCCGAGTGTGAACAAGCCAAACGCAGACGCTGCAACCCGCAGGACGGGCGCCCGGCAGCAGCACACCCTGCCACCGGGAGGCGCCCACCGGCGCTGCACCAAGCGGCCAAACGCAGGCCCACCGGCACCACCGAGGCACTGCGCGGAGCCGGCCAGGCCCCACGCCGCCTCGCCGTGCCCACCGCCCCCGGGGCAACC